GGCTATAGTCAGCAAGAGAGAATAAACTTCTTTGAAACTTTTACTCCTGTTTCAAGGTTAGAAGTCATAAGACTACTTCTCTCTTATTCCATCAACCATGACATAATTCTATATCAAATGAACGTGAAAAGAGCTTTTCTGAACAAAGTTATTACTGAAGAAGTGTATGTCAAACAACCTCTATGATTTATATATTTAAATCATCCATACCATGTCTACAAGCTTAAAAAAATCACTCTATGGTCTTAAACAAGCTCTAAGAGTTTGGTATGAAAGATTGAGTAATTTTCTGCTTGAAAATGGTTTTGTTAAAGGTAATGTTGACACTACACTATTCAGGAAAAGTTTGAAAGAAGAAATATTGATTGTTCAAATTTACGTTGATGACATAATTTTTGGTTCCACTAATACATCTCTCTGTCAAGAATTTTCCAAGATTATGCAGGCTGAATTTGAGATAAGCATGATGGGTGAATTAAAATACTTTCTTGAAAAAGTTCAATCTTGATGATTGCAAAGTCATGTCCACTCATATTCATCCTACATGTAATCTTTGTATTGAAGAATGCAGTTCTAAAATGGATCCAACAAAATATTGAAGTATGATAGGTTTCTTTCTATGCCACTGCTTCTAGACCTGATATCTTATTAAGTGTGTGTTTATGTGCAAGGTTCCAAGAAGATCCTAAAAATACTCACTTAACTGTCGTTAAGAGAATCTTTAGGTATCGAAAAGGAACATTAAATCTTGGACTTCTTTATAAGAAGTCCTCTGATTATAAACTAGTTGGATTTTGTGATGCTGACTATGCTGGGGATAAAATTGAAAGGAAATCCACTAGTGGTTCCTGCCAATTAATAGGTGAAACCTTACCTCTTGAGGTAGTAAAAGACAAGCAACTGTTGCTTTGTCCACAGCAGAAGCAAAATACATTTCAACTGCTAATTGCTGCACTCAACTACTCTGGATGAAATATCAACTTGAAGACTATCAGATTTTTGGAAACAAAATTCCTATTCTTGTGATAATACTATTGCTATCTGTCTAACGAAGAATCCAATTCAGCATTCTAGGACCAAACATATTGAAATTAAATATCACTTTATAAGGGATTATTTTCAGAAGGGTGTAATAGATATTCAGTTTATTGATTCTGGACATCAATGGGCTTATATATTTACAAAGCCCATGGCGATTTCCCAATTTGATTTCATCAAGAAAAAATTAAACATGGTTTATGTAGCAAAATAAATGCTTGTTCTCTGAATGGTGTATTAGAATATTTGTTGGAATATGTTAATAGTCAGTTGAATTATTTCTGATAGTTTCTTAAGTATGGTCTTTAAGTCTGAATGGGGGTTATAGGATCTCTCTCTTCCTTGACTGCTTTATTTAAAGCCTACAGTAATAAGTTAATTCCTTGTTATGTGCTTTGAGTTAACAATTAGACTATTCCTTGAGTTCTGATAAAATAAGAATCTTTGTCTTAACACTCTGATCCAAAAAAAAATTCTTGAAATTCTGATATGATAATCAGCTGTCTATGAAAGTTTTATAAAGACTTAAATAAACATGATTATCACTTCTATTTTCAGAATCTGCTCTAAAAAGTTTGGTTCATTAAAAAGGAGCGTTATGACAAAAACCTAACTTGTTTTTATTCAGACTCATAACTGTCCAAATAGGTTATTTTCTACATAAGATAATTCTGTAAAATCACTTTTCTTCATCTTAATATTTCTTCTTACAAAAATGTCCTTGTAATTCATTAAAGAAGAGATTTTTGATTTAGATTTTCTAAAGAAATATACAACCAACTTCAAGGAATTGAGGGCGAATAATCTTTCACAAATTGTTTCAGATATTCATTTTTAGAAATGATATGAATACTCTCTGGACTCATCTTTTCAGATCTTTTGAAAGACTTTTGGGCCAATGCTCATATCCACCAGAGTGAGTAAAATGATTATCTTATTTTATCTGTTTTTTTCCTGTTGTAATCAACTTTAAAAGCATATGTCAAGCAATTATTTATGAGGTAGATGGAGTCACTATTGAAAGCTACTGGTATAATAACAACTCAGAAAATGATTTACAAATTATCTATGGTAACAAAGACCCTTTTGAAAGTCCTTATACTCTTACTCTTATGGCAAAAATCTGGTATCAAATAATGGGGAACATTCTAAGGCCTAGAGTAAAGGGGACAAGATGAATTTTTCTAATGATAAACTCTTCATTTGGACACTAGTCTTCAGGATCAAGATCAATTTACCTCTAATTATGTTTTAGTATCTTAAAGAAGAGATTCTTACATCTCACGAGGAATTATCTTTTCTCATTCCTTTGTGTAGGATTCTTTCTTAGATTCTAGTTCAACATTGGCAGACTTTTCCTGACTGGTGTTCAGCTATGAATACTTTTGTAACCATTATTCATTGCTAAAGTCTTTTTCCTTCTCTTCTTTTTTCGATTGATGACAAAGGGGGAGAATGAATTGAGTATTTTAAGTTATTAATTTTTCCGAATGTGGTTAGTAATTGTATTTAGAGAGAGTTTACGAATCTCACCATTTTGTATGGAGAGAAGCTTACAAACATCAACTCTTAGACTTTACAGACATGACTTAGGGGGAATTTACAAACCTCACCTCTTAGACTGTTTGACTCAGGGGAAGCTTACAAATCCAAAACCATGAAAGTCATAGAGTAATTAATTTGCTTCTGATTATTTTTGTAAATACTTAATGTTGTCATCATCAAAAGGGAGAGATTATTGAAACAAGTTTGGTCCATACCATGCATTCTCCAAGGTTTTGATGATAACAGTCTTTGAAAATCAATTAGGATTTCTAACTAGGTAGTTTATGTGTGTAGAATTATATTTACTTGATGCAACTGGTTCTGACATTGAAACGAATTTCGTTCGGTTTTGATCATGCTTTCTTGAGGAAGTCTGATCAGAAAAGTAGCTGCTAGTGCACTCCAGTTCAAAAGCGTGCTATGTTGCCTCTAATACTGAGTAATGTCTAATCAGGTTTGCTAACACGGGACTCAAGATTTATTGATATTATGTTTTACAGGTTATGTTGTACTTGAATCATAGTTGTATCATCTGGACAAAGGCCTTGTTTCGTGGATATTATTGTGACTGAAAGTTTCAACACTTGATTTATTGGAAAAGAAGATGTACTAGAAGATTTAGTCTGTTTGTAGCCGTTGAAGATGCTCCAATGTCTCTATTTTTTTAGCTATAAAAAGCAGTTGAAGATTTGAAGATCAACTAAGAAATAACGCTGCAAATACAACTGAGAAATACATGCACTACTATCAGAAAGCTGAATCTGTTAAGAGTTCTTAGTCTTGTGTTGATTAAGAATCTTTGTAAATGCGCCTTGTATTATTTTGAACACCTCCGATATTTATCAAGTGTTGTTGTAAGTTATTCCTTCTCTAAACTATCTGTTTAGATATACGTCTCTTGCTGTAGGCTTGAGCAAGGTGAATTCTTAGACCTGAATTTTTTTAATCAGAAGCTGGTTACGTAAGGGAAAGTCTTAGACACGAGCTCTAAGTAGAGGAAAGTATTAGACACGAGCTCTAAGTAAGGTAAAGTCTTAGGCAGGTGGTCTAAGCAAGATAAATCTCGGTTAAGAGCTGATTGAGCAGAGGGAAGTCTTAGACACGAGCTCTAAGCAAAGGAAGTCTTGGACAAGTGGTCTGAGCAAAAAGAAAAGTCTTATACAAGTGTGTATAAGCAAGTGTAATATGGTTGATTATAGTGGAAAATATCTTGCTTGACAAGGGGACTGGAGTACTTTCAGTTGGGAGAGGAATCAGAATAATTACTGTGTGTTTTTTGTTATTTTTACTTTACTTCTATTTCGATTTCCGTTGCACCCTATCAGATTCTGAACTCAATTTTTAGAATTTGAACTCTAGTTCAGAAGTAAATCTAATTTTTGCAATACACAATTCAACCCCCCCCCATTCTTGTGTATTTTTTTCACCTTTAAAAAATGCAAGAAATACAAATATTTGATGAAACCCAACATATTCATAAAAATCCAAAAACTCAACCCATTTATGAACGAATTCATGCACCAAAACAACAATGTCTAAGACACGTGAATCAAGAAAATTAGATCCGAGCACCGACAAATCAGACTGTCCTCCAGACTCTTACACACTGTAGCTCTGCCGCCAACCTCCCGCCGCGTCAACTTTACCGCCATTTTCGCTATGCCTTAACTCCACCACCAGCCTCACTTTGCACAACCGCGACAGCTCTGCCGTCTATCTCATTCAGCACCACCTCGCCAACTTCACTGCTAGTCTCCTTCGCTTTTATGCCATTTTTATTTACTTTCAAATTATTTTATAATTTCTACGATTTCAAAATAAATATATTTTTCTCTTCATTATTTAAGGAGGTTTTAAGGTATACTTTTAAAAAAAATCTTGTATTAATTTGATATTCTAATTTAGAGATTTCATCTTCAATTTAAGTCATGTCAACTCAATGACATTCTTATATTTATGGTTTGTTTTATTAGTTCTTGATGGTCCATAGAAGACAAGGAAAGAATGAGTGAAATTTACAAGATGCATTATCTCTATCGGTTTAGGGAAAGTCGGCTAGAGAATCATGAGTTTAATACTAGTATATACTAGTATAGTATTTCTATTATTATATTTTTTTGACAGAATATAGTATTTCTAATCAAGTAGTATATATCTTAAAGTTCAAGCATTACAACACAAACTCATATAAATGTTAAATTAATTACCAAAAAAAAATTCCAAAATTTTTCAACACTTTGTCCCACTATTATGCTTGAAAACAACATCTACCACTAGCAACAAACACACTTTCTATCCTTCCATTGGTATATAAAAGGTAGCACAATAGTAACCTATTCATTGGCTCATTCACACATCTCTTATCACAATAAACACTAAATTTTCTTACCATCATTGTCTTAAAAGTGTTCGCTACAATGGCTTCAAGTTCTTCTTGGACAACAAAGCAGAACAAAAGGTTTGAGAATGCTTTGGCCATCTATGACAAGGACACACCAGATAGGTGGCAGAAGCTAGCAAAGGCTGTTGGTGGAAAAACAGTGGAGGAAGTGAAAAGACATTATGAGATGTTGGTTGAAGATTTGAAGCAGATTGAAGAAGGTCATGTTCCATTGCCAAAATACAGAAATGCTCCAACCATAGGAGGAGGTAGCATTAAAAGTTACACTTTCTCAGATGAACAACAAAGGTAAAACTTTTACTCGTTAATCTTTTTTGTTTTTAATTTTTCATGTTTTAGAAAATATATGGAGAATAATATTTTTACTATGCCTGTGGAATGAGTCTAATTATGTTACATTAATTGTATTTTGTAATTGTAATGCAGGTTGAAGTTTCTAAGCATTCAATGAGGTAGTAATCATTAATCAACAGAAGAGCTAAATTGGTTATTATTATTGTATTAAGTTTCTATTAGCTTCATTTTAATTTCTGTTTTGGATGAATAAAAATGATGATAGCGTCATTAAAAAGCAACGTAGAGGAACTTCCAAGCTAAGTGTGTTTGTGTTCAAGTATGTTTATTTGCGGAAAAAAACAAAGGATGTGGACAGTGCAAAATTTAATATAATTATTAAGACTAATATGTTATATATAATCCAAATTCGGTTACTTGTTGAATCAAGAGGGAGCAATATAAAACATGCATATATTTAAATAACAAGTTTATCTAAAGTGAAGGTACATGTACATATGCTTTTACCATGCACCGACCATAACATGTTTCATCATTTATGTCTCCTGCAAATACAATTATATTTTAGATTTATTAAATAATTAATATATCTAAATTGTATAATAGATTAGATATATTGATTATTCAGATACAATGATCATTCAATAAATTATTTTTTTTTATAAATAATAATATATTAGTATTATGTGTTTATTAATATTAATATTGTATATAATTAAATTGTTTTTAATTAAAATAAAAGAATTGTAATTGTTTTATCTTTATTTCAGTTCAATTTTCTTTTTTTTTTAATTGTATTTTATTTTCCTCTCTTGTGTGATAATACATCATGATCATGTTTTATCACTCAAATCAAGCATAAACAAAGAAAACCAATTTAAAAATATAATTGAGAAAAGAGAGAACGTATGTTATCGTGCGTGTGAGGATTTAGGTATGAGCCCCTAAATATTATGTTGAAAATCTGATCAAGAGTTTTTGATATTTAGAGCTTTAAAATCACTATTTCAACTCTAAAATTGACCTCTTATTTATTGTTTCAATGAGTTTTATGTTTTGGCAAGACGAATGAATTTTAAGAAAAATGTGGTTGGTTGGACGAAATTTTAAGAGAGAAAGGTTTTAAGATGTTATAATAAATTATACTAATTAATAATGTAAATTTGTGAGAAAGAGAGAGTTTTTTGAACAACCATGAAACAATTCAATTTTACGAAGTGGAGAGAAAAAGAAAAAAGAAAAAGAAACATAATTGATTATAACTATTTTTCAATTCACTTTCTCAATTAGGAATAAAATATTACAAGTGAATAACAACAACCAACTCTCTCCCTAACAAGTGAGAGAACCAATTTATTTATAAACTACTAGCATGTGTATGTTATGTATGACGATAACTCTTATACATGACATACATAACTATTACATAACATAATACATAACTAACTTAGACCACTGGATGCTTGAACATACTTTGACTATAACATGCACATTTGACTCATTCGCCCCCCTTGTCGAGACTAGAGTTCGATCCAATAGAGTGAAAATACATAATTATATATTACAATTATGGTAGTTAAAATAACACAAGGTTATTTCATTTAAATATGGTAATATAAAGAATGTGATCCGAGATAATTCTTTGTCTATTAGCAATTTAAAATCTTTCTTATGGTGGAGGGATTTAAGGCTTTTGTTGGGTTCTTAGGGGTATTGAAATCAATTGGTTCAATATGTGTCTCTTGTGCAAGGTTGAAAGTGGTTTCGATATTTAGTTCTTGAGAGATTGCTGAAAATTTGTGGTGCTATTTCAGGCACTGTAGAAACCATGACCTAGGATTAATGAAGTCGGTTCATGGTTTTAGGATCATTGGAGTTGGAGGACTTGTGAGAATCCTTCGAACTCTGCTACATCAAAATGTGACAGTTTCGACGCCATTCTTGAGCATATCGCTCTTGACCCCTTGTAGCTAGATTAGTTTGTATGGTGGAATGCTTTAGTCGGGTTTCGGTTAAATCAACCTGTGACCCTTGTGTCGATCATAATTTATAATTAGGGCATTTAGCTTCAAAATCAGAGATCATGGGGCCTAATCCTGGAAAATGGTACAAGTTTTACAAGGTTAAAGGACACCACATAGAAGATTGTTACCAACTTAAAAAGGAGATATAACATTTCATATAAGAGGGCCACCTCAAGAAATAAATCAAAGGCGACTCCTCCTAGAGGCCAGGTAGGGTCAGTTATCACCTGCGTGATGATTCTTGAAGACCTGGACCCTGAAATGGAAAGGAGTTACCCAAGGAAGAATGTGACAAGACTATACGCCACACCCTCAATGTTATTGCATGAGGATTTGTTTGGGGCAAAGAGATCAGTTTTGCCCAACGAAGATATGCTTGCTAGGTATTAACTATAGAGGACTTGACCACAGATTCGAAGGTAGGTGACAAAGCACTAGAGGCTGAGATCACTTTCTCAGAAAAACACGCAACATAGATACATCCCTACAACAACGAACCCATTGTCAACAATGTGAGGTGCGATGATTAGGAAATTATAAGAGTATTGGTACAAGGAAGCTCTGCATATATCTTTTACTAGGATGCTTTTGAAAGGCTTCTCCTTGACCCGGATGATCTAAAAGCCTTCAAAGGGTCACTGGTTGGGTTTTTTTGGGATCAAGTACAAGTAAATGGTTACATAACATTAAAGAACATCTTAGGGTAGGGGAATAAGTCAAGTAGATCATGGTTAGATATCTGTTTATATACACTTTCTCTTACTATAACATGATCACATGGCGACTAACTTTCAACCAGTTGGGCGCCACCCTGTCTACTCTATATTTATGCATAAAATACCCGCTCTCTAATGGGAGGATTAAAGTCATCCAAGGAGATCAAGAAGTCTCTAGGAAATTTTACGTGGAAAACCTAAAGTTGAAAAGAGTCTGAACCCTAGGTGTGAACACAAAAAGTATGGGCTAGAGAGTAAAGCCACGGGAAGAGACTCTGAAAGATGAAGAGGTTCCTCCTTGGAAGGGCGAGAAGATATGAGATCGAATCCCCCAAAGGAAAGCTCTATAAGTACTATATTTTTATCGTTGTTTACTTTATTTGTTATTATTTTGGTTTTAGGCGAGTATTATACCTATGTCGTTTGTAAGGACAAGTTATCTTTTTGGCGAAACACACTTTTCCCTAGCACATCATGTGGAGGAAAGGGCTTTTAACGAGGCTCCTCATCTTGCTATTTTGAATTATTTGCATTACCATCTCCCCTTTTGTAGGAAGCTAAAGGAAAAAAAATCTATACGAAGCCTTCTCTCAGGACGACTAAAATATGTTGGATTCTTACAAGAAATATTTACCGCCCTTCGAGGCGATAAGAAATGTTGTATCCTCATCAAGGAGTCCTTTCCGCCTCTTAAGAAGATAAATGTGTTGGATTCTTATGATGGATCCTTGTCAACTTTCGAGTCGATAACACGTTGAATTCTTATACGGAATCCTCCCATTGAGGTGATAAACATGTTAGATTTTTACAAGGAATCCTTACCACCCCTTGAGGCGATAAACATGTTGGATTCTTATGTGGGGATCCTTGTCGTACTTTGAGGCGATAAACATGATGTATTCTTACGAGAGATTATTGCCACCCTTCAAGGAGATAAACATGTTGAACTCTTATGAGAGATCCTTGTCTCTCTTCGAGGTTATAAACATGAAGGATTCTTACGAGGGATCTTTATCGCCCACATAGCTTACCTAAACCCGTATCTACCCCGCTGTCATCTCCTTGATCTTGAGTGATTAGGGTATGAGAGCTCATAGTTCGAAAGCAGCTCAACACCTAGTTCATGTCTCGCTCAAAGGGAAAAAGGCTGCTGGAGTCTATTACCTTGATAAGTTGAGTATTCTTTGTCCACGATAGAGGAAAGCAGGAGGCGTTTTTCGCCTATTTCGTCACCACAGAAGCATCACCATGCTCTCTAACTCTCACAAATATATCATTCTAATCCTCATAAGGCTCTATGTAGGGCTCCAACAGACTCCTACCAGGAAAATAACATAGGATTACCCAACCACTAGTGGGGATGATGTATACGCTATAAAAAGAAAAGAATACCCCAATAGTGGGGGTGACGTCCAAGTGGTAGTAGATAATCTCAAAGGCTCTAATGATGCTCCATAATTTGGGCGTGATTTGAGAAGGGAGACATTAGCAGTCACTAGAAAGTATGTTTCAAATGGTGCAAAAGGTATCAAGAGTCATAGTTCACGAATGACGGGGAGGTGCAAATAAAAATAAGGGGTGGATAAACCACCCAAAGTGGCCATGCCAGATATTTCCTTTTCTAAACACGGTTCCAAGATTTGATCCTCTTCGTGCCCTGTACTTAAGAACCTAATATCTTGACAGAAACCCGCAAACTTGTCCAAATCAAAATATAAAGATACAATATCTAAAACACGAACATGTTTGCCACTCTTCTTGGACATCAAGTCCTAATAAAAAGGGAAGATGTTAGAAAGTTGTAGTTGGGACCCCCAGAGTACTAGAATCCCTATAAGCTTAATGCACCCTGTGACTTTCTTCTCTCGTGTCTGAGCTTAAAGATTAGAAAAGCGCTATCGCACCTATGAAACTCCTTTGTTGAACAATGGAAATCCCAAAACAATAGGGAGAGGGAAATGTCTTTTTGAAAAATAAACAAATACCCTTTATAAGAAAAAATTAAGAGAACAAGCAACATACTTGTCTGGGAGCGCAACAACTGTAAGATGTGGAAATATTTCATACTTCAAGGACACACGTAAGGAAAAAACTAGACTGGGTTCCCCAGAAAAACCATAATGAGCAACATTAAATGCCACTCACGTTTCTTTCCCACTAAATGATCAAGTTTCCATTACTGACAGACATTTTGACGTCTTTAAAAATTGATTGACTGATGCTTAATATCCTTCTATTGACGTACAAGCCACACAGGAAACACATGGAATGGACTTGGTGACTCATCCCTAGTTGAAAGACTTGCCTCCCACTATAAGAGTCGTTTGGAAGGAATGAAATGTTCGAAATTACGCAGAAGATAAGTAAGCCACTTTGTCTTTTACAAGTTCTCGTACTTGAGGGACTGTATAGTGATATATTTATAAAAAGAACACACGGAACAACACAGGGTTCAACCTGTATTAGACGTTCGCCTGAGAGTATGGCGCATAGACACACCCTCTCACCAATGGTTAGCCCTAATGAGAAAGCATGAATAATGACGTGTACGCTGTCCATAACCACGCGTGCAAGCGCTCATGATTGCGATTCTTTGAGAGATTTCATGGTCGAGGTGGAATGGTTACTACTTCTTAAAAATCCCCGAAATTCAAGCTCATAAGCCTCTATAAAAGTCTCACCATGAGGGTAGAAGAGAACAAACTCATATCCACATAAAATACCTTTAAAATAGAACTTCTCACCCTCGTGAGTTTACTTTAACCCTATAAAAATAATAAAATTTCTGGCAACCCCACTAGCTTATCGTTAGTATTGATCTATACTTAAAACATTTAAAAGTAAGCTTATTAACAATAATTAAAGATAATTTATTTAAGCCTTTAAACATCAATGTTGAACCTTAACAATTGTTTAATCAATTATGGTTTAAAAGATGCTCAAAAGAAACTACGTTAGCTGAAATATAGTTTTCTTAAATTTACTTTGATCATTTTACAAATAAATGTTCTTCTTTCTTATTTTTATCCAATCAAATAAAGAAAGATAACATTTTTTTTCCTTTCATTTATCACTCCTACAAAACACAATTAAAATAATCATCTCATTTTTTTTATTTTATTTTTTGTTCTCAATTTATTTTGGAAACCAAACGTAGCATAATTTTGCTTGCAGTTAGTTGCTACTCGTTTCGTCAGTCGTCGCAGCTTTCGTTCAATTTGCTCCCGCCATCCATTTCTATCTCACCATGGAACCCGAAACTTCTTCTTACAAGGTAACACTAACACTACTTTCTTTCAATCTAGGGTTTCCATTTTCCATCATCATCATCATCATCATCATTCCATTGCTTGTTTTTACAGTTTACTACTTACTCATCATCATTTTCTATGTTAACTCCTTCTATTTGCAGATTATATTAGGTTCTTCCTCCATCGCACGCCGCAAGATTTTATCCGAAATGGGATACCAATTCACATTAATGGTGCATTTTATATATATATATATATTCTATTATCAACGAAGTTCGTTCTAATTTCATTTTGATTTTAGGTTTTATCTTTATTATTTTTTTTTGTAGACTGCAGATATTGATGAAAAGAGCATCCGAAAAGAGACTCCGGAAGAGTTAGTTATGGCACTAGCTGAAGCCAAGGTTTGTGTTTTAATATCGTTTTCTCTAAATAATTTTACTCATTCTGCTTAATTTGATTCCTGCTGATGGTTCATTATAGAGTTGTACGAGACAATGTTGGACCATTTAGAATTACCAGGAGAGTAGAGTAAGTGTAGCAGAGATGAAGATGTTGCGTTGGATGTGTAGTAAGAGTAGACATGATAGGATTAGAAATGACAATATTAGGGAGAATATTGGGGTAACACTTATAGTAGAAAAGACGATGGAAAATAGACTTAGGTGATTTGAGCATGTAGAGAGAAGACCTTTAGATTCTGTGGTAAAGAGAGAAGTCAAACTACTAGACGTGGAGGAAGACCTAGAAAAACTATAAGAGAAGTTAAAGAAAGATCTCGGGATTAATGATTTGTATAGAAGCATGATTCTGGATAGAACAATATGATGAAAGTTGATCCATGTAGCTAACTCCACTTAGTAAGATAAGGCTTGGTTGTTGTTGTTGTTTTATTATATATGGTAATTTATTTTACGCTAACATTTCAATTATTAAACCTGTGAAACCATGGAACTTGTAAGCCATTTTCTAGTTGCAGAGGAATCTGCAAAGCAATTATAGTGATAGTGTTGTATGAGGTCAGGTAATAGATATTGTGTTTTTATTCTACTAGAGTAGCATTAAACGACATGTTAATCCAATTGTTTTGGAGCTTTCCCTGTCTTGTTTCCCTTTGTTCTTAATGGAAGGGTGTGTTTATAGATCAATTGCACTCTGATTTTGAATGTGAATTGTGCGTCTGTCAGGCCAATGCCATTATTTCCAAACTTGAAACTACCGGTAATCAAGCGAGAGTTCATGAACCGACGCTTTTAATTGCTGCTGACACAGTATGTTGTGTTTCCTTTTCTTGGCATTTATGCTCCTTAGTCAAGTGTTACTGATCACTAGGTTGGTTGTCACAAGGGCCATTTATTAATTGAGGATATACAGTTTTTTTTAGAAGGTATAGTGTAGTATTGTACTCCAGTTTGAATATTACAGATCTGGCTTCTAAGGTTTTAAGAAAGAACAAAAAGATGTGAGTCTTTGCAAAGCAAAGACCATTGGCCAATTTCCGTTTTGGTAACCTTGTTATAAACACTTAGGTTTTTATCTTCTACCTTCTCCTTTTTGGTTTCATGTATATATCTGAGGGAAATACCAAATATCAGGACAGGACAGTATACTTAACATTTTGAATTTTGAATGAATATTGCCCGGTTTGGTTGAATGCCTACCTGCTCACTTTAAATTCATTGAAAAGTGAGACCTACATTTTAAGTTCTTTTGTTTCAAAATTGCTCATTGTTTTCCACAGTTGCATCAGTGGTGTTTTCCCTTGTTTTTCCCGAAACAGGTCCCTGTTGATGTCATGTTATTATTTTATAAAATAAAATTGTTTTTTTATACTCTAATACTCACTTTCTCTGCGTTTAATTTTTTTTGCTTAGGCAGAAGCCATCTTACAAAGGCTCCCTGTTGGTGACTACTTAAAGGATGCCGAGCCAACTTTATTAATTACTTCTGACCAAGTATACATCACGTTCTTCTGAATTTTTTATTTTCTAGCGTGCTTTTGTACTTCCTCTTTTGCATAAGCAACAACATTTTTGAGAAATTTCAGTTGAACGAAAAATCTGAAAAAGTTTTGTAGTGGTTCCCCACTAAAACTATCTTCCCTCACTTGCTTCTTGACAGTCTTTTTCTCTCCCTCTTTCTATTGCTTTTTATGGCTATTAGCTATGAAGTTTTGTCTTC